AGGATTTCATCATTTCTTCAGCAATTCTACGATACAAGCCAAAAGTCATCGGGTCCTTGCCAACCTTAATTGAGCCATCACCACTACTAATTGCACCTGCAATTCGATGCTGCAGTCCTTTAAAATGACAGCTCAGCTCACGTTCTAGCTGAGAGGTCATGGTGCAGTGGTAGTCGCGAAACAGATTGTAAAATGCTGAACGATGTCCTGCGTAGGTGGAGAACGAATGATACCCTCCGCTCTTGTTTTTCATGGACAATATCCAAGCTAGAAAATCAGCCGCTTTCACGTCATTAAAAAGAAGCGGCGGATTCTCCGGTGCGGAAGAGAGTGCGGTGAGAATTGAAGTTTTAGTTGCCTCCGCCCCGTTTTCAAACCGTAGAGCGTCTCGAAAAGGTCTTGGCACTAGCAACGGCTTGTGACGCAGCATCCAAGTCAGCATTCGGACGGTAGAATTGAGGTAGCTTGCACGGGACTTTGTTGCAATTGTGCTGGCCCTAGTCAGGGCCACTTCTTCATCAAGCTCTGCCAGGTTGCTTGCGTCGTTTGTAGCCATCGGTAGCACTAATAGGAGAGAGTCGGAGTGACCGTTCGACACCTCTTTATTTTGATCGCCGGATGGCTGTCCGGTAATTTCCATTATTTGGCTGCTAGCAACAAATAGCTGTATTTTTGTATGGTAATTATTCACTATCTCGGAAAATACCGGAGGATTGTCCGGTAGCTGATAGTCAGCGACATCCTAATCTCCGGTAAATTCCAGGTAATTACTTGGAATATGAGCGAATATTGCACAGTTTCTCAAAAACGTAGCAAATTCGTATTTTAGATTGGTGTATAGTTAGATTCAAGGTAGTTTTTGGGTTTGATCTGCACTTAACGAATATGGTGGTCTATCGAAACGAATGTTCCAATAATTACGCTGACTCGTACTAACTTCACAAATACTACTCCGTATCTTGTTTTTATAGGTGACAATATCACAACTGTGTATCGTCGTCGCTACAGTCTTCTTCGGCTCCCATAAAAATGGAGCATGAGAGACTAGTCCGCCGACGGTATGCCGTACGAAGCCTTGCCTGTCGATTGGCTTGATAGCGCTTCCGCTTTCTTGTTTGCTTCTCGAGTGTACTTGCTCCAATTTCGCGCAAACGAGTGTCGTACTTGGTGTTGTCATCTCCGTCATCGTTCCGAAGAGGTCTCAATCGAATATTGACGTTTGTAAGCGCGACACAAGCCCGAAAGTATAGGTCGTAAGAGGTCTCGTCAAACTTCCACTTGTCGGAACAAATTCCCCACAGAGACTTCAATCTACCGAAGAAATTCTCAACAATGACACGGTCATGCGCGAGCTCGTCGTTAAAGCTGGCGTCTTCGAGCGAGAGCGGCTGCAGACGCCCGCTTTTAATGGGGTGAATTGCTCGGTACTCACGCGCCATACCCTGGTAGCCCTTATCGACTAACACCGCCCATTCTTTCGGATACTTGTCTTGTAGTTTTCCTTCGTCTCGAACATTGGCATCACTAGAGTGTTTGTGAAGAGCTCGCGAATGAAATGCTGCGTTCCTGCGAAAAATCTCAGCGTCATGCGTGCTCCCACCGGTGTGCTCCGTGCAATTAATCGCGACACCGTTCGGCAGCACCGACACCTCCACTTTGTAGCCATACAAGTGATGTTTGCCACTGTAATAGCGTAAGATCTCGCTCATGTTACCGCTGGGTTTGTTAGCATGCTGAAAGGTAACGTCCGTAGCATATCGAGCATACGGGAAGTACTTAAACGCATGCCCTGATCGTACAATCTTCCCCAGTGTCCACTGGTCATTCGCTTTCTCTACGTACATTTCGTAGAGAATAGGAGACAGTATATCCATAAACTTGCGGATCATTTTCTGAAAGGTGGATGGCGGGATTCTAAAAACTCGAGCAACGGTGTCCCATTTTCCAAGATGTTTGAGTGAACTCAGCGTCATAAAGAAAACGTCGCGCGCAGCGTAGCGGCATTTTTTACCGCGGCCCACGTTCCATTTCCCCTGCAAATGAGGGTACACAGCTGCCCAAACATGATCGAACTCCTCTGGCGCAAAGTTGGTGAGCTTGAGCACCCCATCGGGCCCTTCAGCTTGTAAGCAGTAGTCAAAGACGGACGGCAAAGTTCCCAAGCCGGAGTTGTCCCCTTCGTCATTGTCGTCTCTGCGGCTGGGTACGATGATTTGAGCGACCTTTGCCTTGCGACGTTCCTCCCGCTGAAATAACTCGGCAGTGGAGGCACGAAAGTCGGCCTCGTTGAGTGTCTCAGCTGCGCGGTCTTGGCGGTCTTGGGAGCGTACCATAGTGGCCTAATATTGTAGATTCAAAAATTCGGAAATGACCGAGGAACTGCATTATACATCTTGCATTATCTCAGCAAACAGATAGGGCGAATAATGGCTACTATCTCTTCGCATGCAAATTATGAAAATATATAGCGATCAAATCATCAGATGTTTCCTATCCACATGTGTAAACTCCATTCCAGAATTGTACTACAGCGATCCAGAATTCTAGAATGGTACTGTTACACATACTCTGTATGTACGAATGAGCTCTAATAACTACGGTTCCGCTGCGGACCTATGCGAAAGCATCCCTCTAAATGTGGCAAACGCTTGGATACAACAAATAATGTTTGATTATTACGCGCTCACCTATACGCCAAATACTCCGTGTCGCCCAAATAACATACCCCTATGAATACTGTACCTGCTACTATGGTCTTTTATCGGCTATAATACCATGTTCCATATTGAAATCAAGTCATGGGTTTCTGATTAATAATAAACTCTCTGATTAATTTGCCCTATTGTGTAGATTGGACCAAACCACAAAGCGACAGGATCTTGTACTGAATGAAGATGATGAATTTGATCAATGTGACTCAATAGTTTTGGGCGGTTTGATTGGTACGAGCCTTGAAAGCAGCCGGTATGGTCTATACAAATATAAACCGAGCTCCGATCCCTTTGGAATACCTTCTTCTACAGACGTTGAGCCTTCCCAGATCTTCGCCGAGAAATTAACGTGTCGCCGAGTTAACGGGGGGGGGGGGGGGGTAGCTCCAACCATCATGGAGTCGTAGTGCCGTGGCCTGTCCGTTCTTGACCACTGAATGTGAATCCACCTTAACCGGTATGACCCACCCGACATGAACGACAAATTAGCTATTGTCGGATCCGACGAGCGTTCGGTAGTGAATCCTCCCCGAAGTCACCACCTGTCGTGTAGCCGAGCTCTCATAGCCTAACAACTTGAATTCTGCCACTCCAAGCGAATACCAGATAATCTCTACTTCTCCGTTCCACAATTTTATGGAGTGGAATTTGATAGAGGTCACGGATCTTCGAAGACGTAGGGCTTGTAGGAAGCGGAGGGAGGAGTCACCACTCGGAGAAGAAGACCGGAGCGAAG